AAAACCCTCGCCGAAGACCACCCCTCGCGGCTCGCGTCGCAGCACGAGCTCGCAGGAGCCTACCGAGCCAACGGCCAGGTCAAAGAGGCCGTCGCACTGCTCGAGCAGGTCGTCGCTATTAAGGCCAAAACCCTCGCCGAAGACCACCCCTCGCGGCTGGCGTCGCAGCAGTGGCTCGAATACATATTGGAAGCAGCAGATCAAGATGAGCTAGACTATAATGTTAGTGGAAGTCATTAACGTTAACCTTTTCTTTTTCTTTTTTTTTCCCCCCTATCTCTCCGCTCTTACGCGGGTCGTAGGGGCTAGGACAATTTTATACTATGCATTCACGGCTTCGTGAATGTTCTTTGATCCCTATCTGACTCTCGGCTGTCTCGTTCTTTTCGCAATCATGACGCAACGCCATGCAGAGTGCTGCGCAGAGGGATGACAGATTATGCAATGTCACAGCTCTGTGGGACTTCTTTTCTTCTGCGACGGATTGAGCCCAATGCGAGGGCTTTGGCAACCTTGAACCAGAACCACTCTGTTCTGACCCATCTTCAGATGCCCGTTCTCACCTCCGCGTGAAGCACCTGACAGCAGATGGAAATTCGCCAGAAATGGCTGAAGACTCGTGTGCCGAGAATTGTTAGGATTACTCCCTCGGTACCTCTTAGTTACAAATGTATCTTGCGAAGCCACACAAGTCAGAGGCTGACCCCGCAGTCTTTAAAAGAGTTAATTAGAAACCAAGCGACAGCCAATTCGCCTTTTACTGTACTGTGTTAAGCCAGTTACAAGACGAAGCGCAGCCACTGTCACGAGGCGGACAGCCGTTTTTGACTACTCGGCTTGCTGCTGGCTCAGGTCAGCAGGGTAGTGAAGCACTGTGCTTGACTGTGCGGTACATTTGACGGTGGGAACAGGCACAGTGTAAGCGCCAAGAGGCCCAAAACGGGGGCTCCAGACAATTGAAGAGTGAGTAAAAAGCGGAAGGCGATTTCGCTAGTGACTGTATGGGCAAGTGTTGCACAGCAAATCGGCATTGAGAGACCGAATCGGTTTCCGATTAAGTTCATAGGAGTGGCTTACCGCGCGCCCTCTGGCAACTCTGCCAATCCGATCCGATAACGATTCAAAAGACTTATAAGTGTTGAAGCAGCAGGCTTGTAATGTTTATCCCACTCCACAGCCTACAGTTTTATTTCCTACTACTTGACTTCTCAATTTTACTCTAAAATAGTAACCGTTGTTCATTGCTATAAATAACTGATTCTATAATCTAAATGTTATTTCTTCCTCTAACCCTCCTTTTCCTAAAAACTGAAAAAAGCTGTCAGAGTCAGATATCTTACCGAGTCCAAAGTACAATACTATATATCTGCAGTTTCCATCAACTATGATACTATACTTGACCAGACTTCAGTGCAAACCCTTGAGTTTACGTCTATAATGTCTACTTTTCAGGAGTTTCTCTTGTCGAATATTCTCAATGTGACGCTGAGAGAGGAGGATACAACGCGACGCTTAGGCGACAATGGAAAGAAACAGAGACAGAGAGCAGAGTCCCCAAAATGGAACCGTCTGCAAATTGCTGAGGCTATCAAAAAACACTTCGAGACTGATATTACCCGATTTGAAGAGGTTGAACAACAGATCCTATCACTTATGATCTTATGGAAAATGATTCTATACGAGAAGAAACGATATGATACTGCTAATAATACCAGAAAAGGTTATTGGGAGTTTGGTGAAGAGATTCTTAGTTCTCAGGCTTGTCTTCACATTTTAGATGCTGTTCCGCGCTGCGTCGGAGTTGGCATATCCGAGCTTCAGAAGCTTATGAGCGATAGGAAGAGAAGTGGACGCGAAGCCAAATGGCAAGACTCAAATGAAGATCGACACCCGAAGGGATCGGCTATGGAAGCAGCGGATGACGAGCTAAGTGATGAAGAGTCGGTCGACGAAAAGTCTACCAACGAATCCGAAGTTCAAGAGCTCATAAGCGATAGGAAAAGAAGCGTAAAACATGTCAAATGGCAAGACTCAAAGAAGGATCGACAACCGAAGGGAAAGAACAGAACAATGCTAAATAGGAATAGCAAAAGATTGGTTAAGAAAGCAGCGGATGACGAGCTAACTTATGAGGAGTCGGCCGAGGAAGAGACTACCAACGAACAGTCAATCATTGCGAAACCCGCCGACGAGCAATCCTCCGACGAGCAGTCTTCCGACGAGCAGTCTTCCGACGAGCAGTCTTCCGACGAGCAGTCTTCCGACGAGCAGTCTTCCGACGAGCAGTCTTCCGACGAGCAGTCCTCCGACGGACAGTTCACTGATGGGCCACCTAGGCAGAATATACGGGAACTGAATAAGGGTAACCCCAAAAACCCTAACGGGCACGGGAAGAGAGGGCAAGGACGAGAGATGAAAAGGTCAGGAGCCATATTTAAGCTGATTAGAAGAAAAGGCAGCGAAAATAGATGAGAGGGAGCGGAAGATGAGGGCAAAGATACACAACAAGATCTAGCATGGTTCAGGTAGTGACTTGAAGATATGGACTACGGATAGCTGCAGATAATGCTCTCTTTGTAGAGGTGTATTATACTCCTATATAATCAGATTGATATTGATGTCTTTGATAGAACCCTTTGTTGTGGGTCGTGCCCCACATCTCTGGAGACCGGGTTGCCCCACATCTGGTGCAGGGGTTTCAGCCCTGCCCACCAGAGCCATCACACATCCAGCATCACCACTGTATGGAAAACACCACCATTGATGATCACCATCTTCTGTTGTCTCTGCATATCCATCACCCTTTTAGAGTTCACTTTTTGTAACAATACAAGAAGTATATGAAGAGATCTAACGTGATTCACCATTGACCAGCGCACTGCAGAGGAATCGGATCGGACAAGCGTTGATTCCCTCTTCACCCAGTGCGCCGGTAGCGTGCCGCCGACAAATCGCGGCCAATGGAGTGGTGATTCCGCGGAACATTCATACACCACGTCTACTCCGTATGTCGCTCACGCTACAAATGCTACGACCAATCCGTCTATCGTTTCGGGGCCGCCTGGTCGGACGAGCTCAAAGCCTGTCGGCGTCGTGGCGGAGGATCAGCTCCACCGAACACGTGCTATCCCGGGTCCGCTTGTCGCGAGGGAACGAGACCGGGCCGAGCAGCCACTGACGACGCTATGTCCGAGGTTTGCCCGAACTCCACGGTTAATCGGACGCTCCGCCCACGGACACAGCAAACGTGCTACCAGGAACCCCCGGATGTCGATGCAGGCTCGAGCCGCAGACAAGTTCGACCCCCGGGTAGACCCTCAGAGCCGTCAGACTGCTGTCCAGGCTTGCCGCGAGACCTCCGATGTACATTGGACAAGCTCTCTCGGCTCGACCGTAAAGCAGTAGAGGAGCTCTCTCCTTACTTTGAGCAGTTCTGCTATTCGCATCTTCAGTGCTATGCAAAGCTGACGGCCGTCTTCCCGATCCGTCGAGCGAAATCATTTTGCACACCGATGCCAAGCCCCATGTCCGCCAGCGTAGAGCCTCGCTGTCCGACATCCCCGGTCTCCAGTCAAAGAAGCCACGGCTTGACCCGCCTATCCCGTCCTCTCTCATTAAGACGAGCATTCCGGGGGACCGACCGATGCACGATAATGTGGCCGATGATGCCTACCGGCGGAAAGTCTTGGAAGAGGCGAGCGTTGTCATGTCACCGCCCGGCTCGCATGGCGAACAGACTGATTAACTCATTCGCGGACTGCTGTGTAAGGTCAAGCAGCCCAACATAGACAGCAAGCGCGGCGCGGTCGAAGCCTGGTTTTGCACTAGCGAAAAAGCAGCACTTCTAGCCGAGTCTCGGTCTCCTGTGGACGCTCCGATCATTACCTAGGGCCAGCAGCCATTCAAATGGGCCGAGAATGGCCGGTCGATTGAGCAGTTTCTCCGGCGGATGTGCTTCCTTGAACGGCTCGTACCCGTTCAATTACCTTCTCGCAGCTCTAAAGAGGACTCCTTCGAATATCGCCAGCTTAGGGAACTCCGGGACCGGTTCCTCAAGCCGATGAGCCCATGCGACGGTGGCCCATGGGATATCTCAGATCTGCAACGCCCGTATCGTCGACCCTACCGAAGTTCCTGGATGGCGAGAATTGCGAACTCCTCCTCCACGTTCGCAACATGGAACTGATGGAGGGGAGCGCGGAAAGAGTGGTTGCGTCGACGGAGAAGTGGAATGAGTGGAAGGACGTCGACAAATTCGCGCTGCTTTCGCAAGGCGGCCATCATACAACCCTACACATGGATAGCCACGGCTATGGTACGTGGTTCACAGTCCAAGAAGGGTGGATCGGGTTTGGCTGGATGTCACGCCCGACAGATGAAGAACGAGACTCGTGGATGGCCAGCCCCGACTGCTACACTGACGGCAGATGGAGAGGTACGTTATCCTCAAGCCTGGACAGACCGTTTTCTTCCGCCAGGCACCATCCACTTTGTCTTCCGGGTGCGAAACCATCAAACATTGGCTCTTGGTGGGCACATTCTTCAGTGGTCTGGCATTCAACGCTGGATCCAAGGTGTTCTGTGCAGAATTGGAGAATCCGGACTCTACGAACGAGGAGATGAACTCGTCGGCGCAGTAGCAAAGCTTGTCGAAGCCAAAGTGAAGGAGGCTAGGATAGAGGAGCTCGGTGGCGAGGCTGCAGTCAGGGCCTTCTTCGGATCTGTCAAGGTAAGAATAGCGAAACACTAGGAGAAGCGGGAGCTAATGATTCCAGGCATTGGACAAGTTTTGCAGTACGGCTAGAAGGCCGAGGCGCTCATTGCCTTCGGGAAAGTAGCCGACCCGCTTATATGACTGACTCGCTTGTAAAATACAAATAGCAGTCAATGCTTATCAATACTTGCATGCTAACCATCAAGGTATCTCCCTACTTCAATGTTGGCTGCTGTAAGCCAGCTTACGAAAGGTACGATGGCTGTAATGCACCAGGTGGCCCTCCTTAGGCAGAGGTGTCTTCGCTCCGCAAGGACAACGAGGCGCTAAGCAAGCGCCGAAGAGCCAAAAAAGAAAGGCAAAAAAAAGAAAAAGAAAAGAAAAGAAAAAAAAGAAAAGAAAAAAAGAAAAGAAAAGAAAAGAAAGAAAAAGAAAAATTGTACGGCTTGGGTGTGACAAATCTCGGTCCCCAAACCACGGAGAAGGACTCCTGAAGGTATAACCTGACCACGGGGTGAGGTTCGGTGAAGTCAAAAGGTTCATAACAAATGCACAAGCAGTTGTTTCAACAGCTATAGGTGACCTGCTTGTATGATTGCTTGCTGAGGGACTCCTAGAGTCCTCTAGAACGAGTGACTATATACTAGCTAGTCCCACTGGCTCGCTCTTGCTCCCCAGAAATCTTAGTCTACCGTGCTTGCCTTGGATAGCTGTCTACCCATGGCTACCATGATCACACCTGCTCGCCTGCTACCCCACGCTAACCATTCAGCTTCTCTGCGGCAGCCTCTAGCGTTTGAGAAGGTGTTAAACCAAAATAGGCTCCGACAAGGAGGGTCACTTTCTGTACAGAAGAATGTACAAGATCTGCCGCATTGGAAACGCAGGTAGATAATGGTCGGAAGCGGAGGGCTGGGGCGCGTGCGTAGTGTTGTGGCAACTGTAGGAGTCTGGCTACACTGCCCGTACTTTTTCGGATAATCTTAGAAACGTCTAATGAAGACGATTCCGAGTAGCTTCATTTGTTTCGAGCTGTTTTGGTTGAATTAGTACAGGATTTGTGCAAACGTTGGAGACAGCAGAGCTCATAAGACAGAGTTCTACTACCCTATGTTATCGAGTTACGATGTTAATTATGTAAGTCAACTCTTACTCGTTCTAGCAGCCAAAAGCGATAAGTTACAAATGCAATTGACATGGAAAAAAGAAATAAAGAGACTATAGTAATCGTGGCCTTCGCCGTTACTGACCACTCCCCATTATGAGAGGCGTAAACCCCGACAAGCACCGTAAGCAATCCACTAATCGAATTCAGAAGACCAGGACTATTGACTCAATATTAGACCAAAGGCTAACATGAAGGTTAACAAATCTCACCCGATTAAATTACTTAGAAGCCACACATGATTATGGCGAAATTTTAGCCAGAGGAAGGTAGTCCCGATTATGCTCGCAAAACAACAAAGTACCGAGAACAAAAGAAGAGGGATATGCTGGACAACATTGTAGACTGCCTCTCCAGCCTCTGTATCTTTAAGTTTTCCAAGGGACGTAAATGTTCCGGGGAATATAATAAAGCTGGCTAACAGTATCCAGGATGATAATCCAGCGGCTATGTTATACAGCGAGGGTGCATTATAGGACTCGACTACCATATCTTCGTAGGTCTGCGAGGCCATGTCTCGAAGATATTGCTTAATGCATTGGTAAGTTCCTTAGATATGAATGGCGCATCTGGAAAAGCTATAAATACGTGCTCTAACACTTCTGTAAGACTACAATCCGGATTCTAAAGCTTATTTTTAGGATTTGAACTTTCGATTCTAGTCTTATTATTGTAGGTGATACGGACTAAGTGCTAGAGTGATTCGCGAGAATGAGGAAACCACAGAGCTATGCTGCGGTGGTGTTCAAGCTAGCTCCTCGTGACGGTGGCCTCTGCTGCCGACGTGCCTGCCCCCACTTGCTCTGGCATTTAACCTCCGCATCGCGAGAACTCTTCCAGCTTCTCTTCCTTTCTTCCTATCTTGTGATTTTACACAATAGAGAGGTCCTTCCGCAGCCTTGCCTCGGCCAATGGCCCTCTACTCGTGACAAGCATTCGAACAATAATAAGTTATTTATCAATTGCCGCTCAGAAGCTCCTGGGCGGCTAAATTGAATTAAGAACTGCATAATATAGGAGTATATAGGGTAGCGACAGGTGCGAATAATTCTCAACCTCGCCTTTTTCTCCCTTAATCTACCATCCTCTCTATTACAGATTCTACAAAATGCCTAATATTTCCATTGTTTGCGAAGCTTATTTTCCCGACGATAAGCCTATCGTAGGTCTCTATGTCACATTAGAAAATTCTCAGAATCCACAGCTTTCATATGCAGCCTTTACCGACAATGAAGGCAGAGTCTTGTCGTGGTACGAAGAAAAAAGCGGCTCCCTGACTCCTATCTGGGACGACTTTAACACTCACTGGCGAATGGTCTTCCATGTCTGCCTTGTTGAACCCGGTATTGACAGGCCTTTCAATCATATCTACGTTGATTTCTTTGTCAGGACGCCTCATCAGTACTGCATTTCACTTCTCCTCTCTCCTAGGGAGTATAGCGTGAAGCATAGCCCGGGTACCCACGTAGCCTCGTTCTCTTCAACAACCCTCCCTTCTTGGGATCACTTGGAACAACCACAGCCGCAAACGCCACTATATGTGAACTCCGAAAACACTTCGACGCTCCCTCTTCAACAGCCATCGCCAATTGCAACGTACAGCCCTGAGATAGCTACTACACCGTGCTGGACAAGCCTCAGGGACGCGTCCGCGCAGTGTCCCACTGCGCCTGACTTTATCGCATTGCCTAAAGACAATCTAAATAGCCAGAATGCGAGCGGTAGGAATAGGCGCATATCCAAGCGGGGTTTAGCGAAAGGCGTTGAGCCTCCAAAGTTCCGCAGGTCTCAGAGACTGTTAGAGAGAGTTGAGTTTCATGAGTAAGAGCCACGGAACGAGCTCTATAACTCTACTTCAGTGTAATACAATCATGTTTATTGCATTATGACTCTGTGTGGATTGCGCTGATAGAACTCTCGCTCTTTTTTGAAGGTGATTGCTACTATTCAAGAAATCGTCTCTGGACTTAAGTTACTTTGGATCTTACAGTAATGCTGACTGCGCAGGCGTCGATAAGCTAAGACAGGAACGAAAGAGTGTTGCCTTTGAATGGACCAAAGTCTACGAGGGGATACTTATTTGAGCGGTAAAGTTGAAATGTAAGAACTAGAATTAACCACTGCGATGATGCCAACGATGTCCACACAGGCCTGCAACCAGGCTTACGGGTCCCCACCTTGACGGAAGACCCATCGTTGTATCCTCTCTCAAGCCTCTGTAATCCGTACTCGCTGGCTAGTACGACGGTGGGTCTTGTACCCCTCAACGGCGCGAGCTCGTATTGGTCATCCTTGTAGAATCGGGCTAATTTCCCCATCACCTCGTTCTTTTTACAAAACTCTCACGCATCTTGACCTCTTTTAGCTTCGAGGCGACTGCACCAGCCACACCAGCATTTGACAGCCACACACCACCACCGTCCGTTCCCCGACAAGGGACTCAAGTGCCAGTACAACTGTAGAACTAGGGAGCTCGTCTAAAAATATGCTCTTAGACGGTTCGTCGAGGCCGTTGTCACCTTGAAAATACCGGGTCTGAGCCCCGATCTGGGGCCGCGCCGGCCGCTGAGCGTCTCGCCCCTCCACCAAGGACGTTCCATACTCACACCGAGCATCAAGGATACGCTACACCCAGAGTGGGCGCTGTTGAGCTCCTTTGGCGTTCTTCTGACACGTGATATTCACTATTATCTGCACTGTCCGTTCGCGATATTGGAAACCGTCGATCCCAACGTTGGCGACGTTGCTTAGGTCTATAAACAGACTGGGAACATATACAACGTTTTCTAACCGGGGAACACAAGAATAAATGCCGCAAAAGATAGAGTTGCTGCTATTTGAGAAGTTCTATCGCAAGATGACTTCCTTGTCTATCTAAGTAATAAACTTGGGTGTATCTATCAAAACGGACTTTCTGGCGACCCTCTTGTGTTTTCACCCATTCTGCAGAACCTCGGCGAGCAATACGACGATTCTGGGACAAAATTTTAGATCGCAATTCCGTCGGAGGTATGTATGAGGACGTCCTGTCCGTTGATGTTTTCTCACGGCATTGCCGCTGCTGGTTTTCGTGACCGAACCCCTGGAGAGATGATGGCAATCGGCAACGGTCGATAGTAGCCTCGAGAATATTATCTTCAGAAATATGGTAATAGATCTGTGAAGGCACTAGTGTTGTCCGAGGTGTGTTGTTTCGTGATCGACGTGAGTGTGCTCTGTTACTCAACCAGCATGGACATAGTGATCCTTGTAGATATGAATATATGGAAGTCGCATGATTCAGAGATCTTTGGCTTGCTTTAGAGTCTAGGTAGGAATATCGCCGATAATAGGAGGTACAAGTGCTCGCATAAGTTTCTTCTAATATATCACAATCACAAGACATTGACTGTATACTAGTAGAATTTTAGTCCAAGCTGGATTACGCCGAAGTTGGTAAAAAGATTGGGAATACTGTGGACATCTCGTTCCGCCATATATATATTTTGCTCTAAAGTGTTCGTCAGAGCTATTGAAGGAAGTTAATTATAAGAATTCGATTTTGGTATTGTATGTTCTATTACCCAAGTTTAGCTTACTATATTAATTAGTTTATTTTTAGAGATAACGTCATTAAACAAATGTATATCTTCAAAGTATATCCACAGACTTTAACTGGTGATCTACGCATTTTGGATCGCCAACGATTGCACTTCTCTACTACAACAATGGCAAACTTGACGTCAAATAAGAAACGCAGAGGAAAATCCAAAAATCAACCGAAGTTCGGCTCCTTGCTGAATAAACCTATCAACGGAGAACTGATATCATATGTTGCTCAAATGGCAGCGAATGTCGTTCCATGCGACCCAGACCCTCCATGGCCACTTTCAGCTACATACAGCAAGGATATTCCGCCCTTAGAAGCCTTTATCTCCCACCTTGTGGCGGGATCTAATGTCCCGACGTCTACGTTTCTCACATCGCTCGTCTACTTAGCTCGGATAAAATCTCGACTCCCTCCTGGAACAAGGGGATTTCGATGTACGCGTCACCGTATCTTCTTAGCTTCGCTCATTTTGGCAGATAAATATGTCAATGACGTATGCTATAAAAACTCTTCTTGGGCTCACCTTAGTATCATGAATTGGGAAAACTCTAATTTCGGATTTCTCACTTCTGAAGTTACCGCGGCTGAAAAAGAACTTTTATCTCTGTTAGACTATAATGTCCGAATTACACAGGAAGATCTACAAGAACAGTTGCTGCCGCTTAAGTAACTAAAGCTACAATAACACTGGATAACTGAAACTGAATCAATACAGTAAATCCAGGAATCAGTGTAACGTTACACAATTCTAAAGTTGAGAAGATTGCCAGCAGCAGGCCCGTTTCAGGGCTGCCTAAAGACTCATACAGTGCGCTTTGTATAGCAACCTGTGAGCCACAAAGCTTGCTGAGCTAAGACATCGCGGCAAAAAATGCACTAACCATTTTTGACGCCATCTGTACATACTTGTTTCTCGATGTCCTTGCTCTTGTCAGCGGGCTGATACTCAAGCTGCTTGGCAGAGGGAGATGTCCCTATATGCCAAGGTTGCGTTGTGCAGCGTGTTGTGCGTCGTGGTGTGGGTCTTAGGCGGGGCGGCGGCTAACGAGGGGGTCAAGGACTGCACAGTGGCGGCGTTCGTTCAAGCCTTGATGTCTTCGGCCTTGGTGTTCGTCCTAGTTGAGGCCTCGCGGGGTGTTGAAGACGGGAAGCGGGTTTGGCTGTGGACCTGCCCCGTGTGAGCCAGTTTTGCCGAAACTCGCTGTCACTCTCCCCGTCGCCGTCTCGCACACGGCTCGTATATGTCGCGGAAAAGCTTTGTAAGGAATAACCGTCGAGAAGAGTATCCTGGCCTTTGTCGGTATATGCAGACCCGCTCTGGGCTGCATGTTGCCGTTGTAGGGTCCGCACATACTCCCGGCCTGTATCCTCACGGGGTGACGGGTGGTTGTCCATGCCAAGGGTCCGTTGTTCCTGCCACAGATCCGAGATTGCCGTGATATAGACCCGGACAGATTGCCCATGCAAGCGAACCTCACTAGCCGGCATCCCAGGCACTGGCTTCCGGCTTGGATCTCGAAATGGGCGATGTACGACCTGCTTTTCGAGGAACACGAGGAGCTTGCTCTCCGTAGGCTAGCAAGTAGCTTGCTGGTCTCTCTCCCTATAATTGTTAGGTTGTTTTCTCTTTGCTAGCAGCTCAACGTCTTTTTCAAGTTGGTTTGGTTTGAAGTAGCAGACTGCAACTTTCCTGCTAGCTTCAGATAATACTTTCAATGGCTACCTCTTATGTACTTCTTTTACAGTATACTTTTCTTAAGTCCCATTGTACAAACTGTTAGATTATGTTTATCGTGTTCCTTGCTATTGGCATTCAAGTAGGATGTACGCAGTGCAGTTCGAAGTGGATTAGTTGGTTTGGAGGCAAAAACTTAGAAGCTGTGCTCTGCTTAATTTCGAGTAAACATCAATTTAGAAGCTGCCGTCGAAGCGCGCGGTACCCGATTCGGAAGTGTTGTCACTAAAAGTCGTCTCAGTAAACCCTATATAGAATGGTTGGTTGTCGAAACGCGCGGTACCCAATTCGGAAGTGTTTGTTATTGAAGTCGTCTTAGTAAACCACCGAAGCGCGCGGCATCGGTCTCAGAGGTATGATGGTGGCATATGGCAGAGCCTCAGTGCTTACTTGGTGCTATTATAACGTCCCTGCCTGTAGCTAAGAACCTGTTGTGATCCTTCGTGCTCTCACACACAAGCGGCCGCAACAAATACTACTGGACAGGCGTAACAAACCGCCAGAGAGGCATCTTCAAGAAATGTCATACTTTTGTTGGATTATACGGAGGCGATATTGCGGTTATCATCAGGAAAAAGGAGGGCAAAACTTGCGCATACGAATCTTCACGAGGTTTCATCACTAAAATCCCTCGGCTGCTTGGGTCGATTGACGAGACATATGATTCCGAATATTTTGAGACACTTGCACAACATAAGCAACGGCAATTGGATGCAGCTGATCCGGGTCACCCGAGTCTTTCTTCAGAGGAAGATTCTTCCACTCCTCTGATCCCGTCAGAGACAACAACTACCGTATTGCCCGATGATTTCTATGAAGGCAACGGAGTCGATACAGTTGGATGAAGGCTACATGAGTCTCCCCTCTTTATGGCCGCTCTCGGAATCGCCAACCATCGCGTTTGCCAGCCCATCCATGGGCCTCCGGGAAGGCAGCTACACAAATCAAGGACATTTTGACCTGGATATCGGTAGCAACGACGAATCTCCGGGATCGTCACCCAGAATTTCAGACTTCTTCAACGCTGGGACTCCTCTTTGCTGCAAACCCAGCAAAATTCTTCTCCCATCGAACCTGCTAGGGACTCACCATTCAAGTACAGATTCGTCATCGAAAATGTCAAAGGTAAGGATTTGCGGAAGGGTCTTTGAGATACATTTTAACTAAACATATATACAGACACGAAAACATGGGACCTCCTCCATAAAGAAATGTGTTATCGATTTAGGACTATTGACTCAGATCCCGCCATCGCTAACACAGATGCAAAAGAAGTCATTGATGGAGTTTGCAAAGAACTGTTTTGCGAGTTAGATCTTGGTCACTATTTGAAGTCTTGGCGAATTCTCAGTTCTAACTAAAAGGCTATCGTACTCAGGCTCAAGCTCCCAACACATTAGGTTCTTCACCGATACGGGAAGGTGATTGGGTTGGGTTTGAGCTAGAGGGCAAGTGCCCCATTGTAGACGAGACAAAGAGTTTTGATCTGGAAGCTCTCAACGCAAGCGATCTCAGCTTGGACTGAGAGACGACACACAATTGACTACATTTGACCATGTTTTGACTTTCCCGAGATAACCCGCCTTTTTCGTGTGTCATTGGCCGTCTTGTTAGAGGCCTGTGAGAGATGAGCGAGACGCTGCAGGCTAAGAGCCTCTGAGTATGACACTTGTTCTGCGAATCGAAAGCTGAGGGAGAAAATGAGGGGAAAGGAAATACATGCACATGCGTTATGTGGGATGCACAGGTGTTTGGGATGAACTGCCCAGTTACAGGTGGGGATAATACAATGGCACACTTTTGAAGACGGCTAGTTTAATGCAAAGCTATTTTGATAATATAACAAGCGAGTCCGAGTGCCCGGGGTGAAAGGAATTGCATCTCAGTCAATACAGCAGCAAAACTCCTGAAACACCATAATTTGACCGAGCTTGAAAAGCTCGATTTCCCGACCGTGGTTTTCCCGTCGCGGGACCTGCCGCGCTTAGTTGCGATGGCTCCCGGAATGGCGCGTGAGACCGCAGCCGGAGGTGCAAAAGATCCTGCGCGGGCGGGGCCTGCCCCACCCCCTGGAGGAAGCCAACCAATCAGACTGGCCGACGAGGACGACGAGATGGACGGCGACGAGACAGACGACGATGAAGACGGCGGCGAGTTTGGCAATGGTCCAAACCCCATGTACGATGAATCAGACGATACTCTCGCGGCGATGATCATGCAGTTCGCATCGACGGAGAAACAGGCCATTGCTTACCCGGTGGCTGACGCATTCATAACGCGGCTGCAACAGCTGCGTCAGAAGGTAGAAAAGGAAAGGGAGAAGAACCACAACAACCGGGTCGACCCGGCAGCGCTTCGGAAGATTGTCTCAGAGGCTGTAGCGAAGGTAGTCGAGGAGAAAGGTGGCGAGGGCTGTGGAGGAAGTCCGCAAGGAGGTCCAGGAAGTGCAAAGGGAGGTCCAAGAGAAAGGAGGGGCTCCGGCGGCTCCGGCAGCGACAACGGGTCGGGCGCGGTCCTGAGCCGCCGTCGCTGCGGGAGACGATCGCGGGAGTGACGAGAGCAACGGCACTAGTCACTCTGACTAGCCAGGAAGAGGCGAGGAAGGCCTGCGAGGATGGGGTGGTTTGGCGGGCCCAGATTCTTGACTGCGAGCCGTACTGGTGTGACGGGGCACAGGAACTGAACTTGCGTATCCTCTAGTATTGGTGTGGTTGCACGAGGAACCAAACTGTGGGCAGGGTGCAGCCTGAGGGAAACCCTGCAGGAGGAGCTGCGCACTGACCACTGGCTTGTCAGCTCCTTATCTAATCTACAGGAATACACCCTAACCCTGGCACGGGCAATGCCCGTGACAACTGGGCTGCTCTCCAGGCAACCCGATGCTACCGATGTTGGGAGTGGGGACATACCCAGTGCTTCTGCAATAAGTCATCGCTGTGCCCCCGGTGTGGCACAGCAGCTCATGGGGAGGGCGGGAGGGAAGGGGAGGCCCAGTGTCCTACCCATACCAACGAGATTTCATTACGCTGTTCGAATTGTACAGGGAGGCACCCGGCCTGGGCACGGTGGTGCCCGGATGCAGGCAAAGCCCAGGGTGCAGCGAGGGAGGCATACCATTTCCGGCCGAGGACTTTCGAGCTTGCCCAAAGACAACAACAATAACAGGAGGAACAACAACCGCTACCGAGAATGCGGAACGTTACCTTTCGAGGTAACCCTCCCCCAGAGGAGGAAGAATTCCAGGAGGTCACAAGGAAACGGCCGCGGAGATGACCCCCGGCCTTTACCGTCGCGCAGGAGCAAGCTGCCAAGAGTCTGACGCAGGGAAAGCTGACCTTCGCGGTGAGGGATAGAACGGTGCAGCCTGCAGCTTCCGAGGTTACAGCCCTGGGAGCTACGGCCACTGGGCCGCTGGCTTCGGCTGGCGACCTGGATGTGGGAATGCAGGGAGTGTAGCCTGGGGCTGCCTCCTTTCACCCGTAGTATGTGGAAGTCCCAAGCGCCGACCTAGAGAGTGTGGTATGGGTTTTTCAATCGGTTGGGCAGCCAATACGGTTTTCCTGTACAATGATTATCAGACGGACCGGCATGCCTTACGCCTTAGGCATAGCGGTGTAGGAACAATAATAATAATATAACAAGCGAGACTGGGTAGTGGTAGAATCCCTTGGGGTTGGTATATCCTGCTTTGTGGTTTTAAGTCAGCCTGAGCTCCTCGCCGCCGTGGCCAGACGCAACAGCCCTAAGTACCTAAGCTAGCATACTCAATACGAGTAAGTTCTACCGTTACGAGTAGATAGAGTAACTAATGTAGTTGTTACCTTGCAACGATAGTAAAATGGCAATAGAGCTAACTTCTACAAGCTGCAAGTTTTGCAAGGTTGGGCTTGTAACTGGAGCCGGCGGTGCCGGAACCTGGGTCCATCTGTGTTCGGGTGATATAAGACAGAGTTGTTCTCGAAACCAGCAGCGTCTGCGCGTGCTTGAAGGTCCTTGTTTACCTTCTGTCACGTGTTCCTACAAGGAGAATTTGCAAATCTGCTGCAACGGCGGTCTCAAAATCAGGTGAAACAATAAACTACGGATATTAAGGAGTAACGAACTACAATGTATATTTATGGAATGATCGCAGCAGAGAGAATTCTTCGATTTTCCTAGCATGCCGGCTAAACTAATCACTAGATTGCTAAAAGCCCAGTAGAGCACGGAATTGTAACGAAAACTGTAAGAGTAGAAACAATTGAGAACGAAACAGCGGTAATAGAGGAAGCTACGACCCTAGAGGCAGAGCTAATATCAAATGGTGAGCTGGGTTGGTTTGCAGTCGGGGTTGTTGTTGAAGTACCTGTTGAACTCGTTTGCGGGTCCGCACTTGTCGTCTGCCAGCCTGCCGTCACAGCCGTTGAGACAGACGTGGCAGACGCGAGGCTGCTAGAACCAACTGGGAGCACTGAATCTGAGGCTGAGGTGGCAGATGAAAGCTCGACGTTGCTAGCGCCTACTGGGAGCACTGAATCTGAGACTGAGGGTACCAGCGAACTCGTCGTAGACACAGACGATGCCTCAGAAACCGTACCAGTGACGCGGGAGGTGCTTGTGAGCGTGGCGAGAGTGGTTGCAACCTGTGCAAAGTCGCTCACGCAGTCCAGAGTTCCCTTGTTGAGGACAGGGGTCGATAGGTCGCCCCTTCCACCAGTTATTATACCGTGGCTGCATGATGCTGAAAATCCTGCACATTGCCTATGCGGGTTAGTCTTGGCATCGGAGAGTCGTAGTTCAGATCTCTTACCACTTTACCCACACGCGCCCGTTGGGTACCGCTGCAGGAACTATAAAGCTAGCAAGTAATGGCCCGGGGCAAGATGCATCGGGATCGAATTCATAGGTCACAGGAAGGAAGTCGCTGTCGGCGAATGTCAATGTAGAAGTACAATGCTCGGTGATCTTTCCCGAAAATCTATTCTAGTTAATCCGAAGTTGTAGTAAAGAGTCGCTGGGGGTACATACGCTGCGGAAACAATAGACACGCCAGCTTCCAGAACTAGCGGAGGGCTCGAGGTGCAGAGCATGGGATTTAGGGGAGAGACGAGAGCCCAGATGGGCAAAAACAGTGAAAAGTAGATAGGCAGCTTCATTTTTGCAAATGGTGATAGAACGTAACAACAATAACGGTCAAAGGAGGCTATCGAATAATGTCGGATTATATAGTAGGCTCTTGTAAGGCACGGACACCGGAATCCAAGTTCCTAAATCTCATGCCCAGTGCCCTCATTTAATGCCGGCGTTGATTTGTCACCTGTAGATTTTTAAAATTAACTTTTAGAACTTCGAACTCAAGGACGTCCCTTTCTAGCTATATTAGCTATTTTTACTCATGCCACTCTCCCCCACATACTACCGATGCCGCCGCCGTCGAGGGCGAGCAGGCGGAGTTCGCCAGTAGGCATGTTTTTCTAGATGGAGCGGACCGGATCGGTGGAGGAGAGGACGGCGTCCGGGGCCGGTGGGCGTAGGTAACGAATGTTGAGGATCCTCAGCCCGCGAGGCTGGGGAGGGTCCTGCAGACTGGGAACTGAGAGGACCTGTGTGAAATCATGAATACGATGACAGCCTTTGAAGCGTTTTTTTCTTTTCTTCACACACATAATTGTGCTGAGCCTGTTACAATACGTTACATAACATCATGTGCCTGAATCGTTATGACAGTCAGCAGCCTAACCTTTGGCTTACAACTATACAGCAGGGCAAAGACGCTGTTCTAGACTTTGGCTGAACATTTGACCGTGGGAGCAGGCACGATGTAAGCGCCAAGAGGCCTAAAACGGAGGCTCTAGATAATTGAAGAGTGAGTAGCAAGCGGAAGCCGATTTCGCTAGTGACTATACATACGGAAATTGACCATTAACTGTTTCGCTGTGCAACTTCTCTTCAGCTTCCTTCCAGTCTGCCTGAACCTCAGCGTGCCTGACGACAACTTCCGCCAGGGGCTACTCGTTTCCCGAGCCCCTTCTGTCGCATATGAGGAATTACCTGACTACACAGACCTCCGCTCTCTCCCCCTCGATTATCCTTGCCGATAGCCGCGTTCAGGTTATGATCTTATCACTAAGAAGACATGATATCATTGAATCTCCTGTACATCCAGCAGAGCGGGCAAACAAAGCAGAAAAGACACTCAAAGCAGCCACTACAAAACGCTTTCCATGAGCTCTCAGGCTTTAATTTGTTTCCCTGCTCATCCCATTATCTGCCTAGCGTTTCAAAGAGCGGAAGCAGATTGTATCCGTGACGTATAAAGGCGCGCCCTCGAGATTGTGTTCTTCGTTGCTGTAAGGGTGGCACAGGTGTGGCCGATGCGAGGTAATATCTGACTACTGAAGAAATACCGAGTATCAAGAGGAGTCAAACTGCTGTGAATCAATTTGGCAGCAACCTGTCTTTATGGTGGAAGTAACAAGATCACCGAGCCCTCATATAAAGTACAAGAAGCCTGGTCCGGTTCTGGATGGCTTATCGACTCACGTTTGTTGCTTGTACAAATACCTAGGTAGCTATCAAGTAGTTTCAACCTTCCGAGCTGATGCTCGAGAGTCCATTATTTGCTCACAGGCTTATATTGTATGTTTGTTTTTGCAATTAATTAGTTAACGTTATAAATACTAAATCGATAGTTAGTAAGCTGTTATGTCAACTTAGGTCAACAAGTTCAGTGGCTGGCAATTCGTTGGCGATAACAAGGACCCACCGCGCTGTTCTGAGACTGGTGTCAGCGCTGACCACAGCATCTCAAACGTGGTTTCCTCGCTAGGTAGTAAAGTTAGAAATCTAATACCGTAAAATAGATACTCCCATTTTTATTGTCAGTATGCACTCTCAGATTCGAATTTCGATCAAGCTGCAGGACGACATCAACAGCCATCTGTTAGGCTGGGTCACCAATGCCACAACGGCCGTCCACAACACCCTCATTTCCTTCGACGCGGAGATCGACAAGGCCATCACAGTCGTCTTCATCGGCGTGATCCGCGTCCTGGCGTCAGCCGCGCAGAACGACAAGAAGGCGGGCCGAGGCGGCGAGCGGTACGGCATGAAGAACGTTCCAGGCAGCAGCGGCGACGGAGGCTTCAGAACCCTCCAAGGCGACAAACACATGACGTTCTAGCAAGACGCGGTCTTGTGCGCGAGTAACGTCCGGAAGGGGCGGCCCGGCCGCGCGAGGTGGCTGTCGCACGCCAGGAGGAGCAGTCATCCCCAGGTGGATGAAGACTTAGACCGCTAGATCTTGGAGCGGAGCTCGGCAATTGTGTGATTATCCTAAAAGCGTTCAGTGGTTGACAATGCTGGCGAGGAAGAGTGGAAGGTGGAGAAGATCCATGATAATAGAAAGTTGAATAACGGCGGCTTGCAACTCCTTTTGGAGTGAATAAAGACATGGGAACTTTACGAGAACATGGCGAAGACGGTAGCGCTTGACGATTATGAGCACCTCCATGGCCCGGTTAGTGTAGATATCATCTAAAACCTTGCCTTAGCCACGAATTGACTTCTATTTCCATGTTTATCCTCGCTTAGGGTAACGTTATAGGAATCGTCTCTAGATTATGGAAGGACTGTTCGTTACCGTCCACACGTTGATGTTGCAAGGGCGAGGTGAATATTGACTAAATTGCGAGAGAGGAACGAAGAGAGAACGAAATGACGGGAGAGGAGGAGAGAGGTCAGCTCTTAGGATCGGGAACGCTGCTTCAAAGTGATGTTGCAATGTCCTCCGATGCGAAACTTCATTTAACTTCACCTCGCCAGTCATTGCTCTAGCTCACAGCATAGCCTATACTATAATCTAGTACTAACAACTTAGACTCCAATAATTTTAGGATATATAAATCCTTCGAGACGGTCGTTGAAATCTGTATAACTAGACTATAAGTTAACGTACTTGCATAACGAGTGGCGCAGCATAACGAGTGGCGCACTTTTTCTTAGACTTCAGTCACCTTGTAAGTCAATTCAACCACAACACCTCAAATCAATTGAAACTACTCGGAATCGCTTTCCTCAGGCGTCTCGCAACCTACTTGACAAGTTCGTACATTATGGCCGGGCTTCTTGCAGTTGCTGCAGAGCCGAACGTGCGGCTCGCCTGCATTCGTACGAGCACCACTCCCAGACGTTTCCTCGCAATCCTGACCACCAAGTCCCCGGTCTGCCATCAAAACCATCGCCTCTTGTAAACTAAGTGATCCTCCATCCTGCAAACGTGTTTTTCTGGTCCTGCGTCGCTTGCTTTGCCGCTCATTTGCCGCACGAAGCTCCTTGTTCTCTGCTCGGAGCAACACCATCTCATGCGCCAGTTTCGAGATGCTCTTTGCCTGCAAGTCGATAATGTCGAAAATGTGGGTGGGAGAGCTGCCTTGATGGTTTTCGATCTTCCGTTTGAGAGTGCTGGAGCTCCGGGTCGCATCGTACGCAGTGGACGGGGTCTTTGGGACCCAAGACGAGGCTGTTCCAGGACGCGAGCTCGGAGGAGACGGGGTGATTGGCTTAGGGTCGAGGCGAGAGATCACCGATTCGGGGTCGAAAGGGACAAGGCCAGTTGCTCTAAAGCCTGCTCGTGCGTTGTTCGCTGTGATAGACGCGTGGAATGCCTCTACAAACGCGTCGAAGAAGTCCTCCTTGGTGATGTGGGTGATTTGCATTCGCATCATCTGCTCGATTTGCTTGCCGTACGAACGCTTGAGTGGGCTGAAACACCCAACATCGAGAGGTTGGAGGAAGTGAGATGAATGGGAAGGCAGGCAGAGCGGAACAATGTTGTTGGCCTTGCAGTAATCTTCGAAGTCGATCGAGTGGTGGCTTTCGTGACCGTCGAGGATGAGCAGTCGATAGACTCCCTTCGTACGATGTTTGGTAGATTGGTCGAAATGTTTTAACCAATCAAGACCAATCTCATTTGTTGTCCAGCCATTTTC